ATTCTACAACAATATAACAATTGTGCAACTAATTCCTAATAAATTTGCAATTTTAACCCTACAAGGGATATTGCATGTATAAAAAACTAAATAATAACAACACCTAAGACATTTTTAAAGGTTAACAGATTTAATAAAATTCAAGTCAGACATCAAAATACTGAAATGGCAGAAAACTTTTTTTTCCAATGTTTTTTAATTTTTTTTTTTTTTTTTTTTTTTACAAATCACAGTTGTTAAGAAATAATACAAAATTTTAGTTTCAAAACTTTTTTTTGCAAAAGCAGCAAAAACATTCTGATTTTTTTTTTTTTTTTTAGTTCAAAGCCCTTAGTTATATGTGAGTGGTGTGCGCTTTTCTTTTTAACTTTTATGACATAATAACATAAGTACTGAATGTATATAACAACCATTATAATCCATTGGAACGAAAGTGCATAACAATACTATACCAAAGATACAATCCACTTACAAGTAAAGTATTGACCGGGAGTTAATTACAGCAAGTCTGTCAATATAAACGACTTCATACAATCCTACAATCACACTAACTTAGTAGATATAAACAGTGTGGTTAGAAGTACTTTCAGTAGGGATTTGTCAAATATACAACACTGTGCTGTACTTGGGATAATTACTATCCTCAATAAAGCATAATACATAGAGCAGTCACTGCCAATATTTCACCTTCAATCCAACCTTTTCTTAAAACTTACTCTTATCCAAATAAAATGACACCAAGTTATGTAGAATTGCAATATAAACTGCAGATAAACAGTAGGAGCAATAGCTGTATTTGGCTTAGAGAAAGTGAAAAAAAAACAAAAACAACATGATATATTAATGTTGATCAAAGTGTAAAGAAAGAATAAAAAAGTATTATTAGGCTACACACAACAAAGTGTAGGCACCTGGAAGAGTGCAGAAGAAACTGCTGGTTTCCTACATATTTCAGCACTCAAGCCACCTATGGTATAGCTTTAGCATAGATGACAATACACACTGAATTAGTTAAGCTCCTCATATTATCACTTAAAGTTACAAGCATCATTCAATAACAGAAAAAAACAACAATTGACTTATTATCTACGTTGCCTAATCTTAACAAAACAAAACATTATTTGCATTTTACTTTTACACTTATGCTTGTACATTTCTTGGCTTAATTGACATTCACATGAGCTTAGGTGGCTATAGGTGCATTGCTATCATCTTGTACAGAACTGAAATAGAGATTTAACAAAAGGCACAGGAGAAGAAACACAAAAGTAAGAAAATTATGAGGTTTCTCCCCATTACCAGGCTTTTGAATAAAGTGGGGATATTAGAAGGACTATATTAAGGATAAGACAAAGAATGAGAATAAAAAAAAAACAATATGATGAAAACAAGTCCAAATCAAAACATTAGAAGCATAACTTTGGCTTGTTGGCATCAGGTGCTTTTTGTTAAAAAAAACTCCCATATCCTCATCTCGGTAAGGGTAATTGTAATAAACCCCCAAAACAGAATAAAAAATTTCTACAATTTGTCCCACTAAATAACTTCTTACATTTTATGACTCCTTTATCAATAAATGCAAGCTTTTTGGAAACAGATTAAATTCTTAGTGTATAAGTATTCATCTTTATACCCCTACCATCACATATTTTTGAAATCATTCATTCTTAGGTCAATATATAAACAGGAACAGCATTCAAGAGATGAATGTGGCATCAAATGGCAGCGACAGATCCTCAAATATTCCCCTAAAATGCAAATACTCTAATGCTACCTGTCATGTGAATAAAGTCACCCAGAAAGAAAAGAATCCAGATTCAGAGCTAAAAAGATCTTAAAGACACTAAATAGAGCCTGTTTTAAGCTTCACAGAGAGCAAACTTCAAATAAAATGTCAATAACTTAAGTGGAAATTTCATGCTACACTCATCTGGTTTCAGAACAAACTTATTTAAGGAAGATTTCATGCTAACTACAGAAGCACATTGACAAAAATTGCATTTTAACGCTAGCAACACACCAACTAAGTCGGGACGGCATGCAAATTCATTGCATTCCAAAAGTGGTTGCACACACCCAGTGCACAGGCCAGCCCGTGCATTAAACAAAACTTTGATCTATCACAGTCAGTGTTTATGTGCTGCAGGAGCAAAGCTTCTCTGTTTACGGATTACCTTTTAATCACTTGGTCTGTAAAGAAATGCAGCCATGATGGACAGCATCCTACACAAGTTATTGCAGTAACCTAAGCTCATACTGCAAAATATTCAAGGATTAAAGATCCAATAGGAGTTATTTTTGTCAAAGGAAAAAATAACTTACTTGTGAATACACAAAGAAAATTAATTATTTTAAAATTCTTGTTTTGAGCCAAGTTTCTGTACAAAATGTCTTGTACATATCATTAGCAGGTCTATCAATAATAGTGGAGGATGCTGTATATCTACAATTAGGCCATTTCATAAGGACAATCCTCTTTCAAATCACTGCTTAAAGAATAATAACAACAAAATAGCTGCATAGAATATTATATGCGTAGATCTGCAATGGCTTGGCTCAGGCTGGCTTTAACAAAAAACAAAAAAATAAAAAAATCATCTCCCTCAAAAGAGCAAAGGTAATGGCAGGGCACCTGCTGTATGAAGCAATGCCAAAAAAGACTTTGCAGTTCAGACTCTTATCTTTGTTTTCAACTTTTATCATGCCAGTGACTGCAGAACCAGTCTGCAGGTTGAACCATAAGGCACAGGATCACAGACGGGATCAAACAGGTCACACAAAGTTTAAACTTTTTTTAGCGAGGAAAAAAAAACTCCTCTTATTATTTTCTAGAGCACTGCTTTTTGGATAACTCCCAATATCAATGGAGGCATTCCACAACCCGTGGAAAGCAATTGCTTCTAACTTAGGCTTCCTCACTATAACTTCATTTTCACTTTCTTACACTAAATCTGCTCAATTTTCACTCAGCTCAAGTGAGAACCTATACGACTTCTATTCTAGTAGCTGAAAATTGCTTTGCACACCTCCTGTTGAAAAACAGCATCATGCACCACATGTCTCACATGATCTATCCATCTCAGGGAGTTTGCCTGGGTAAATCTGAGGGGCAGATACCCAGAAATAGAAAATGTGCTAATAAAAACTCAAAGCCAAAGCACTTTTTCCAAATTCCGAAAAAAAAAAAGCCTGAAAAAATTAGCACCCTTAATGAGAAAATCCAATGTACTCAGAAGGGATGGAACAAGCATTACTTTAAAAATCCATCAAAAGAAATGCCTATTTAACATATTAACAAAAAAGCAAGAATGTGTCAGATTTTTTTAGAGTATAAAAGCAGCAAAAAGCATCCAAGAATTTGGAGCAAACCTCAGCCTTACAGTAAAGATGCAGTAAATAGAAAAGAAGTGAGGTTTATCAAATTTGACCTCTGTCGGGTTGCTTGAAGTTATTAAATCCATCTGCGTTTCTGTGTTCATTTGGATTCGGTTTTTAGCACCATTGTTTAATTCTAGCAAAGAAAATGGAAGGCAATATCTACAATTGACCTGATTTACTCTTTACAACCAAAGCCAGCCCAAGTTGTAAGGGGTTCAAAGGGTAAACTGATTTTAGAGCCAATTTTGAACCTGTTCCCAACCAGTAACTAAAGCATCACAGATATTTCTTATAAATTACATGATGGAATGTGAACAGTATAGTACTTGTTCATTAAGGATCTAATGTAATTGCAGAGTTTCTGACTTTCTCAGTGGGCAAGGCAGATGTTACGGTAAAGCAGGTTAATTAAAAAAAAAACATCAAAGTTTCATGAAGGAGGAGCAATTTTTAAAAGACACAAATCATTAAATACTATTAATTTATACTCTATATATTTTTGCAAAAGTGCTAAATTAGCAAAAAACAAACCCAGGAGAGAAACTAGGGTTTTTTTCTGGCAAATACGGATTAGAATTTTTCATTTTCTGACCTGCAAATTCCTTGCTGCAGGTTCTTTAATAATAGCTTTGAATCACAAAGGAATTTAAGAATTTACTTTTAAGACTCTTGCAGTTTGTGCATCAAAATGCATAAACTCTATATAAATTTCTGAAGTCAATTACGTATGTGTGGGAATTCCGAGCATTGACATAATAATGAATGAGGGAAAATTCCAAATAAGGATATTGAAGTAACACATTTTTAAACAGTTTGATCTACTGCTCCATGATCATAGATGATCAAGGTAAAACATGCCGAACAATCCTTTAAGATTTTCATCTTAATGATTACAGCTTATAAATTTACCACTTCTTTTATATTTGAAAGGAATTTTAATTTAAGATAGTGAAATTATTTTCACTCAGAACAACAGTTGATATGCTTCAGAATCATATCAACTTTCCTGCATTCCTTCACATTGTTTCATCTCCAATTCAACTTTCTTTATGCCAATTGTGTTCAATTTGTTCACATTGTGTATTTTTAGCTTTTTCATCAGCCCCAAGAAAGCTTTGGGACATTAAGCAGCTTACCCCTTCAGTTAGGGTTTGGGTCGGCTCTGCTTGTAACTAATATTGAAAATACCACCAACAAATTATCTAATACTGCCTTCTTTTCCTAAAACTTGTTCTAGTTTCTCCTACTGCTTCTCTTCTATCGCAAAACGCAAAAAAAAAGTAGTACAGACCGAAGGAAGAAATACACCTTTGGTATTTAGAATCAGCTGAAAACCTTTCTAAGAATACCATGTTTTAAATCGACTAATAACTGGTCTATTGATTTTTTTTTTTAACATACTATGATGGGAAAATTTATGTAGACAATAGATAAAATAAAACACCTGGAGGGAAGTTTTGGGACCCTGAGCAGTGCGGGCCCTGGTGGTGTAGGGTTGTAAAGGCAAGCTTGTTCCAGTGGATCAATGCAACTTTGTGGTTAAAGAGACTTTATACATTATTAGATTTCACTGTTGTTGCAGAGGTATTAAGTAAGGCTAGCCCTTTTTAAAACAGAGAAAATATCAGCGCTATAGAATGACTCCATATGGATCTCAATGAGCATTCTGTGCGCAGAAATATGGTGCTTAGGTTCAGATAATAGATGAGAGACATGAAGACTATCTGGTAGGTTATTTGCATTTACTTTCCTACTTATTCGTATGTTTTAAGATCTAGTTTAAGGTTGCATTATGATTACTGACTTCCTCTGAGTTCTATGCACTTTTTTACCCTGGTAATAGTACCCCAAAGGGCTCAAAGATGTAGATGAAGAGATTGAAAAAAAAAAATATAAAAAAAAAGGAATAGCAAGGTTGGTTCCTGCATCTACTGCTGGTTTCCAGAGACTAAACTGTTGGAATGCATCTCATGTGCAAGCTAACAGTCCCTATAATTAGTCAAGGTAAAGGTGAACTCCCCCACCCACCTCAAAGGGAGCTCTGGTGTTGAATGTGTTAAAGTCATTAAGGTCAACGTGAAGGTTAAAGACTGAGAAAACAGAAAGAAGAAAAAGCCCTTTCTTCCAATCCCAACACTCCAAGGCAACTGAGTGCTGGTAGATGGAGGGAAAAAAAGCATTTACAGACAGGAGGAGGGGGGGTGGCTCCTCACTGCATATGTCCTGTTAGAGATCACTGTGTCTCCATTGGAAGCATCACTATATTCCACACATACACTCACTCACCCATGAAAACATCCTTCCCGTTGAGTCCGAATCCATCCCAAGACCAACCACCCACAAAGAGGCACATACATTCCTCGCGAGCATGCAAACTTTCAGGAATATTAGCACTGAGGGTTATGTCTCCACAGATGGAGGGATTTAGAGGCATTTTGTTCTGTAAGCGCTTATCCATGGGTTTGCTTTCACAGAGCGGAGAATCCAAGAGCCATAAAAAGGGAAAACCCTTTAGGAGACGTGCGGAGAAGAAGACGGGTGTCTCCAGAAACACCAGCCTCGTTTGGTGTGCTGCTTGCGTAGGATCTCCTCCTCGCGCTCACGCTCCTTTTGAGAGCGGAGGTAGCGGTCTTCCTCCTTCAAGAACCACACAGGAGGCCAACGCTGCTTTTCAAAGTGCCTCTGGTTTTCTGCAAGAAAGAAGCAAAATTGTACTCAAAAAAAAAAAAAAAAATTGCTTGTTCCAACTCTTGTGTAACTGGTATTGGTTGGTGTATATGGTAGGAGGTCAATGTAGCTCCAGAATGTGGAGGAAATTCTACATTTTGGTTGACACTAAAACTGTAGCATGACAGCAAACAGGAAAAAAAAATGATTTAGTGAATCAGGCTTTAGGGCCAGGAGATACAAGGAGACCACAGCGTACCTGGAGACATAGCTTTCATGTCTTTGGGAAACTTGCGACAGATGCTGTTATAATTTGTGCAGATGTGATGAAGACACCAAGCAGAGAGCTGTTTGGCATTGTGGAACTGTGAAAAGAAAAAAAAATAAATAAATAAAAGAGTATTACTGAATGAATGAAATGAATACAAATTCACCATAAATTACCACAACTACTACTGCATCAACTTAAACAGATCTGTTTGCACAAAAATAACTAGGGATGTATTTTGAAGTCAAAACACAGAAGATGGAAACACACCTGTGCAACTTCAAGATAAGCTAACACCTGCCCATCGATGTCCACTCCTTTTGCTGCCAGCTGAAGTAGCTCATCCACAGCATGCTGCTCTAAAGAGGCCCAAAATGAACAGAATCGTGTCAGTCGTGTCAGCGTTTGTGTGCACCACTGACAAGTCACTCTGTCATCATTTGTGTCAGACTGCATCAGAGCCAACTACATATAAACAAGCTGTTCTGTTGCATTCACTTTGCAGGGGATATTGAAGTAATGGGGCATAAGTCTGCTGTGTTTGTAGTGCTTCAGACTCTTAAGTCCTTACCAGTGAGGGCAACAAGTCGTGGCAAACAGAGACGGTTTGCCACAATGATCAGTTCCATTGATTCCAGTCCAGGACATGGTGTCAGGAGACCACAATATAAGAACTCGAGCACTCCACGCATGCATGCTGTACTGGTGTTTGGAATCGATACCTAGGATATGATTACAGGGAGACAAGACGGAGGGAAAACTTTAACATCCTGCAGAATAATGCAGTTAATATGTGTTAGATTCAAAACGAATTATGGATGAGTAACATTTTTAGTACTTGTTTTACATTTTTTATTTATACTTTCCCTTAAAATTACTCAACACATACACATAAATGCAGTTGTATTTATACTTTTTTTTCTACACCAGCTTGTTTCTTTAAGATCACAGAGGTCTTGTGCATCTCCAGCAGTCTTTGGGTTAAAGGCAGGGGACACCCTGGACAGATGGCTAACCATCACAGGGTGACCACACCAGGATCATTTATACAAAAACAAAAAGGATATCATGTTGATTTTAATGTGGCCTAGTCCATGTAGAGACGTTATATACTCCACAATCCTCTAAAAGGATGCACTGTAATTACAGTACACATGATATGTATAAATCCATCAGCAGCTAATGAAGTGTAATCCCCAGGAGGACGGAAGGAAGGTAAACCATTATGATAGAGATGACCCGACCCCCTCCAGTATCCTTTTAAGCCTACCCACTGTGGCACTTTATAGACTCCACTTTCATAAGCAATTAAGAGAATGTCACCGTGTTGCGACCTCTTGCTGTCCCAGAGAAGGGTGGTTTCTGGAGGTTAAACTCCAGCTATGCCACCCGTTGCATTGATGAATGGACTCTGACGTAGTGACATTTATGATAGAAGCCATAATCTGCACAAATGGTATTTTAGCCCTTTAGAATACCACTTTTATCAGTTTACTACTTGGGGGTAAAAATTGAATGATAATGACCTGTTTGATTGGTGCTGTGCATAGCCAGAGTGCTATAGGCTTCTTGATCAAAAGTGTTTCTCAACATGTACACAGTACTTTACTGCTATATTACAGTTATGTTCCCCAGGTAGCAAATCCTAAACATCCGGCAGTCATCTCTGAGTCATTTTAAATCCTTTTATCTATATTTGCTTTGGCCACTGTTTACATCCCATTGCAAGGCTACACCTAAGAAGCTGAAAAACTTTGCTGAGCGGATGACAGATGTGCAGGAAAAACATCCCCTTTCTAATCACTGTTCTTGGGGATTTAGCCTTTATTGTCCCACCAGGGATTAAAAAAAAGGAACTATGTTATTATGAAATCCGCAATATATCATCTTTTTTACTGTATTGAAATAAATTGGGATAAATCGTATAATGATACATTTATCAATACATATATAATTGCTAAACTTTTGCAGATTCCCCCCTAAAATGTCTTGCCTGCCCTTACATTGGGCCTCAAATTTCTTAACTCTGTCACTGGTCAAAGATGTATTATGATAGTTTTATCTGATATTGAATCTTTAAAAGAGTTTTTAATTCGCAACTCCAAAAGTTTTTTTTCTAATATGCATAAAATCATTTCTTATTCTCATAAACCAAATACCATGTACTGTATTGTCTCAGGAACTATAATTATTACACTCAAAGTAATCAAATACTGCTAATAATAAATAGAACTGTTTCTAAATTAAGAATGACGAATACTCAAGTACACTGTGTTTAGTATTTAATTAAGTCCATGACCTTCCAACAAATAATAAAATAAATAATGAAAATAAAAACAAAATCACAGTTAATGTATTGTTTATTATTTTCTGTTGGCTGGGATCCTATCACAAATTAAACTTTAACTATATCAGTGGAAATGATTTATTTATAGCAATTCTGAATGATTCATGTTTTCAGACTAATTACCTTTAATGGCAGACTTTAAAAAGATATTGTAGATTCTGATTATGTAACACAGCCAGAAGAAATTCATATTAAAGGCAGTGTTTACAGTTGGTCGGATCAGGTTAGGTTAAGTTAAAATGCCAAAAGATACTTGGCCAAAGGGGAGACCACTGAGATAGCCGGAACTATCTGTGGGGAAATGCTGGTCTTAGAGGAGGGACTCTTGCTTGCTTGAGGATGTACTACTGTCATAAGAGCAGTGCACTTTATGAGCTATTATCATTTGGAGGCCTCCATGCTATTTTTCAATGTTTCATAACAGGGTTCACAGTTATCAACCCAAGAGTTTGACAATTCACATGGGAAACAGCAGCCACAAACTAAACCAAAATGAGGCCACAGGCAGCAATTTGTCATAACAGTAGCTGTGGTTTTAACTGAGGTACAGAATGTTGCTTGAAAGAACAACAGGAAGTCCGGAAGCATTGCTCTGCATGTGTTTATATGTGTAAATTAGCTTAATTTATCTCCATGGTAACACATATTTCTACAACTAGATATTGCACTTCAAACAAAACAAGACAGTAGTAAAGTGCTGGACAGTGATTCAAAGACTGACAGGGCAGTCTATTGTGTAGGGGAAGCATTTAATCATATGTTGGGAACTGTGTGAATCCTGATCATGTGTCAGTCTTTCAGGGTTGTGGTTATTTGAAGAACTTTAACCACGCCGCCACACCAAAGTGTCTAACAAGGATTAGTAGGTCGATCTGATAGAGAGGCTTATTCTGAATACAGCCCTATGGTCATCAAAGTGATAACATCCATCCAAATAACACCTCTGTTTGTATGATATTGTTATGCTTATATTGTCAGATGTTACAAGCTGTATACCTCTGTGTGATCTAAGGCACGTTACCTAACCTTTTTATAACAACTAGGAGAGTTTTCTGTGGGTAATCTACATTGCGCTTCTATTTTCACTGAAATGAAAATAGTATGGTAAACTGTCAGAAAATGTTTTACCCCATATAGGCAGGTATTGAGTTTGTTTTAAATTACCACATACTGGGTGGAACTATCTGCAAATTTTTATTAATTCATTCATTTTAATTGGACTTTAAACACAAACACATGTTTTCAGTCACCTGGGGTCAGTGAAACTAAAACAGTTAGGGTTGGAAATAATACATATTCTGAAGCAACCAAAAGAAATTGATCAACAGACTTTAGCTTTGAAACAAATAAAGCAGGCATTCTGCTCTATTTGGTAAACTATTGTTTATGCCATATTTCTCGAGAGTGGATTGATATACTTTGGTTTCATATTGCAAGTACGATACAGATACGAAAAAAATATTTGCATTAATACAAATTAAACTATTTGTCTTCAGTGTCGGAACAGTCACACATTTTCCCGAGTTCAGTATCTTTATAAAATGGTGAAGAAATTGTTGAATATGGTTTTATAACTAATAATCCATCAATCTATGTATTCCTGTTTACTCCATCAGGGTCGCGGCGGAGCTGGTGACTATTTGCAGCAGTCTATGGGCGAAAAACCGAGTACAGCTCGCCAATACATCACATAACTGAGAATAATGGCTTTTATTTTTGAGACGTTAGGGCCTTTTTGTTTCCTCCTCTCTTCCTGCTTATCCTGGCCTGCAACTTGAAAGTTCATTGCAGCACATACTTGTACAAAGCTTGATTCTCTACTACACTTTAAGACTGTAATGGTTGTAGTGCAATCTAAGATTAATGCTCTAATATATGATTTCCAATTCTTGCTGCAGCTTAGATATGGTTCTAAACTTTATTTCAAATAACCTTAATTGACACCAGTTCCCAACAAATATCATCCTAAGGTACCTAATAAGAAAAGCGCATCTAATAAAGTGTTATGATTGTGCCAATGTATTTGGACAAATAAACAAATATAAAGTCAAAACAAATCAAAAAGTCTAATCTGATCTTAAATGTACTCCCCAACACCCTAACTCGGTTTATAGTGTTAATTGGCCTAATCATTCCCCTAATAAATCGACTTCCATGTTGCAGTGAATGGGAGGCACTCCTTGGCTGATTGAAGGTGAAAGAATGAATCTATTTAAATGCTGTGTTTGCAAATAATGAGAGTACAACTGAAAGGAAAGATGAATAGGTTCAAAATAAGTTACATGAAAAAAATTGATGTTGACAACTTCAGCTTTATAATTGTCTGTTGCTCTGATGCAGGCAGTAGATTGAGAAAAAATCAAGTTTTTTGAATTAGCCACTATAATTTATTTTAACAGCATTGTGCTTTTAAACTCTTACGAGTGATAAGGAATTCTTGAAAAATGTTTTTTTTTAATGTTTTGTCAGTTTATCAGGATTTAGAATTTCAATCCAATATATAAGATGAAAGGTACCTATATCCCTCTGTCTTATTTTTAAAACTCACTTCCTCGATGTAGCTTTCCATAAAGGAGCCACGGAACATGGCTGCCATCCAGTCACAGCTGGAGATGAGCAGGGGCTTGTGGGCCGGGAGGCAGCCGTCATCCAGTCGGAACACCACATCTGAAACCGGGGTGGGAAAAGAACGTTCATCTCGTGGAATGCCACAGAAGCCCAAACTACAGAAAGGAAAAGACAGACGAGACAGAACACCAGACACGCACACAGGCAGCAAGAGGCCCAGACAGACACAAAGAGACATGGACACAGGTAGACAGACAGAGAGATAAATTGACGGGGAGACGGAACCATGAGGGAGGGAAAGTAGGTACAGGGTCTTAAGCTATGCAGCACACCCAGATCTGTTAAAGTGAGCTGGTGGGGAAAAACAAAGTGATTATGCTTGTGTGTTGATATTTTATAACTTACTTTCTATGCATTTGTTAATTTACTTAATCAAAACTCATATGAGCTTCAAGGGAACAACAATAAGTATGATCACAGAGACATCACAAAGAGAGGGAAATGTCAAGTTTTGCTCAGAGGGGTAAACAACTCACACAAAGACAACACTAAAGGGAGAGACCACACTGCATCGTCGATACAGTATAAAGGATCAACATAAAAAGGCAGACTAACACAGCAGGCAGTCACAATGTCAAATGAAGCCTGTGAAAGAAGTCTGTCAAAATTTCTTTAAGACATAAAAATTTATATACATCTTGAAAATGAACCTGAGATAAACTGCAAAGAACTAGCAACATTTGCCCAGCCTTTCTGATATTCTCAATTTAACCTTCCATAGTCTTCACATCCATTTTATATATAATAAAACCCCTGTTCAAAGAAACTCATTGGCCTTTCTTTGCAAAAACTATACTGAGGACATCAATATCTAAAAGGCACAGACACTATATTAAATGATTTAATGTTTAATGACTGGCTTTGTGTCATACCAGCAAAGGTTCCTTTATTGAGGCACTCTTTGATGCGATTGGCTCTGCGAACATGGAAGGCCTTTGTGATCTCCTGATTCATGAAGCTCTCTCTGTTTAGAACATTGGCTACCATCATCCGAAGGTCGAACACCTCAAGCAACTCCGCAATGGTGGCCACCTGCATCAGATCCCCTCGGCTCTCATCCAGACTGCCTGTGTAAAGGTACTGAAGCACTGCCTGGAAATACAGCAAACCCAGAGGTCAAACTCACTGAAAACGTAAAGGGCACGTAGTGCACAGTGCCAACTGATGAGAAATAAACGTCTCTCTCATTTTTGCTATATCTATCCAAAATAAATATTCAAATAAATGTGAATATAGGACAAAGTAATTTAAAGTGAATACAAACGTATTTACTATAATTCCTGTGTTCAAGTGAGGATCTCTGTTATTAAGAAAGATTAATAAATGTAAAAAAAATAATAATAATAATAATAAAGAAAACAAAATGTATTTTATCACCCACAATAATCACATTAAGACCTATTTACTGCTAAAGCTGTAGAATCAATCTGAAAATAACACATGCCACAAGATTAACCTCTTACACCCTAAGGGGGTATAAATAAATTTCTGCCTGACAAAAACACACAAAAGTAAATAACTTATACCCTCAAAGCTATTAGATTTAAGAAGAAACTTTTGGTACGTCTGTAAAGGTAAGATGTCATAGAATGGTTTTCTGGTGTCAGCACCATTGTAGCTTTGACCCTGCCTGAAATATTAGGGACAAAATACAAAATATTTTGCATTTTTTGAACCTCGCCAAAATTTTCTTTGAAATAAACATTGCAAAACACTACCAAAATATTATTTATAGCACAAAAAAGTAGTACAGACTTTCAAATCTAAATGTTGTGTAAAAATATACAAAATGTGGACTCAATCAGATTAATCATATTTATTTTAGAATGGTATTAGTGAGAAATTTCTTAGGCGGAGAGGCCATTTTGGCACATTTATCCATAAATGTCACCAAACTGTGCCAAATATGTTTTTTACATCAATACTGGGGGTTTGGTAAAATTACGAGGTCACGTAGCAGCTGGAACCGCTGGTGGGTCCGTAGGGTTCAAGGGGTTAAAAAAGCAACAAATAACGCCCCATAGGCACATGGGAAAGGAGGTCAGTGGCATATTTTAGTCTTTGTATTTTTTAGATACAAAGTCACTACTAAGGTTCTGGGACATATATATAATGTGAAAGTATTTCGAGAATAAAAAAAAGACTTAAAAAATAAAAACATGAAACTGAAATAGAGAGAATTTTTTTGACAGAACTTTAAACAACAGTCATTTTAGACTTATACCTTAAACGGTTCCTCCTGTATCAGTTCATCCATGGCAACCACAGTCATGAGACGAGGCCGTCCAGTCATAGGATCATCAACATGCTCCAAACACACACTGAGGAACCCCCTACCCCATCCAGAAAGGGCTCGGCCTGTCCCAATTGCTCCCATTGAATATTGGGCGCGAGAGGGAAGTGCATTATCACTCTGTGAAGTCCTCAAAGAGCCTTGTTGGAGGAGCTCAGGTCGATTCAGGCACCGAACTCCTCCATCTACTCCCTCTTTATCAATGTCCAGGCTCTTAGTACGCCCAGCTTGCTCTTTGGATCCTCTCCTGCTCTGCTCGTCTTCTTCTCCACTTTCTGTGTTTTCCTTGCTGTTCTCTTCCTCTCCCATTGCCCCAAAACTCAAGCCACCAAGATCAAGGGTGAAAAGGTCGTAGAACTTGGAGCAGGACGTAGCCAGATAGACCTTGTGTGCAAAGACACGAGTAGAGCCACTTTGCAAAAGGAATAGAACATCTGCACAAAGAGGCTGACAGAAAAGGGCGTCAGGGTCTTTGCCATCATTTGGCAGTGGGTCTGGGATACCCACGATGGGGCATGGTGGTCTAGGGGGCAGGAACGGTGCCTGGAGAAGGGGTCTCTGGACCTTTTTCAAATGGGACTTCCAGAACTGCAGGTGTCGACGGGAAATGAGGGCTGCACGGATGGCATTGTCAAACACATCTTTGACTCCAAATTGGGCTACAATGCTGGTCTCATAGTAAGGAATTCCAAGCTCTTTTGCCACCTCATGGCCTCTCTCTGGAGGAAGGATGTCTGTTGTTTTGATGGGCCTGAGAGACATACATGAAAAGTTAAACCAAACAGATTTGAATCCTTTAAACCTGTTTTAAACTCAGAATCATAGGTAGCATGAAATTTACAAGCAAGCAGGGCAGAAAGACAGTTGTTGCAGGGTTTGTTTCAGTCTAAATGTTAATTCTTAATTGGAAAAGGGTCTCACTTTGCTAACGGCCGTCTCGCACGGTTAACTGCATCCAGGTCAGCATAGCGCAGATCCAGCTGGCAGCCGACCAAGATGATGGGTGTTCGGGGACAGAAGTGCTTGATCTCCGGAAACCACATGGTGCGAACATGGCGCAGGGAGTTGGGATTAGCCAGAGAGAAGCAGAGCACCACTACGTCAGACCTACAGAGGAAAATGAGAGAGAAAACTCTGTGGTTTGTGTACAAACAAAATAACAGAAAAGACACAGGTGGTCCGGGGGACGCTGACTGGCTCTGACGAGAGCATGCAATTACAGTCAAGAGAGGACATTCGAGCTTTGATGGATGTATGAGAACAGAAAAGGGATAAAAAGAGCTGCTGCTGACTAATGGAACAGGATGTCAGTTTGTATTAGAAGTGGTGAAAAGGGCTTATGGAGGAAGGTTGTTTGGCTTCTGCAAGGAATAGAGGGAGACCTGATAGAGCTAATGTGAGAGCTTTGGAGAGTGTAGGTGTGTGTGTTTGTGTGGGTATGTGTGTGTCTGTGTGTGCTGGGGGGAGGTATTTGTTGTGCCTGAGCCTCTTTCTTTCTGGTGCATAAATCTTTATAAGACCTTAAGAGCAACAAGGGCCAAAAAAGTGTTCTAAGAATAGTTCTGGATTTACGCTTACAATCAGATTCCACACATGTGTTTGAGCATGCAGACTGCAACTTTTGACATAAGATCTCTAACCCTGACAAGCAGATGCAAGTCTTCCTACTTCTAGGTACTGTTTAGGGTGGATAATTAACTTTTGCTGAAAATACTAAAGATATTAGTAACCTATCAACTTTTGCAACACTGGGCAATGCAAGATTTTAGAAAGTGCAGCAAATGAAAAATCTATGTAAATGTTGCCTTATTTATCATCATGGGTAGCTTGGGGGCAATTTAATTCTGTGACTATATTTCCTTTTTTGACAACTGCCAGGCATCCGGCACTTATCGGATGTCAGGTAAATAATTTACTGAACTTTAGAGCAGCATTATGTAACAATTATATATGGCTAATTTCCTTGAGCAAAATACCTACATGCTAGAAGTTATGAGGTGTTTAATTAGACAACAAATGCTGTGCTGTTGAAGAAATGTAGAAATCTAGATGTAGTGCTATTTCACAATCTTGGAAAATTCTTGGAGAGGCTTTGTGAACTAATATGATAGAGCCAATACATTAAGGGAACCTGATGTTCAATAGCCAAGTTCATTCACCTCTGTAGAATAGACGTAATCAGCTGGGATATGTTAGCTGTTCCAATTTCAAAGTCCTCTTTATTTTCACCAAGATAATCTCTGAAACGCTCTCAAGGACATAATATACAACAGCAGGGAATTTAATCACAGCACACACATATGCACGCACATAAAGTGCCATTAGCACTTTTTTCAAAGGACTAGTCCTCGGCTTTGTCAGAGAGGTGTATATGCAGCATATACACATATGTATACGTGTGTGTATATATATATATATACAGGTGCTGGTCATAAAATTAGAATATCATGAAAAAGTAGATTGATTTCAGTAATTCCATTTAAAAAGTGAAACTTGTATATTATATTCATACATTACATACAAACTCATATATTTCAGATGTTTATTTTGTTTAATTTTGATGATTACAAATGACAACAAATGAAAATCTCAAATTCATCATATCAGAAAATTAGAATATTGTGAAAAGGTTCAAAATTGATGGCCCCTGGTGCCACACTCTAATCAGCTAATTAACTCAAACCACCTGCAAAAGCCTTTAAATGGTCTTTCAGTCTAGTTCTATAGGCTACACAATCATGGGGAAGACTGCTGACTTGACAGTTGTCCAAAAGACGACCATCGACACCTTGCACAAGGAGGGCAAGACACAAAAGGTCATCGCTAAAGAGGCTGGCTGTTCACAGAGCTCAGTGTCCAAGCACATTAATAGAGAGGCGAAGGGAAGGAAAAGATGTGGTCGAAAAAAGTGTACAAGCAAGAGAGATAACCGCACCCTGGAGAGGATTGTGAAACAAAACCCCTTCAAAAATGTGGGGGAGATTCACAAAGAGTGGACTGCAGCTGGAGTGAGTGCTTCAAGAACCACCACACACAGACGTATGAAAGACATGGGTTTCTGCTGTCGCATTCCTTGTGTCAAGCCACTCTTGAACCACAGACAGCGTCAGAAGCGTCTTGCCTGGGCTAAAGAGAAACAGGACTGGACTGCTGGTGAGTGGTCCAAAGTCATGTTCTCTGATGAAAGTAAATTTTGCATTTCCTTTGGAAATCAAGGTCCCAGAGTCTGGAGGAAAAGAAGAGAGGCACTTCATCCACGTTGCTTGAAGTCCAGTGTAAAGTTTCCACAGTCAGTGATGGTTTGGGGTGCCATGTCATCTGCTGGTGTTGGTCCATTGTGTTTTCTGAGGTCCAGGGTCAACGCAGCCACATACCAGGAAGTTTTAGAGCACTTCATGCTTCCTGCAGCTGACCAACTTTTTGGAGATGCAGATTTCATTTTCCAACAGGACTTGGCACCTGCACACAGTGCCAAAGCTACCAGTACCTGGTTGAAGGACCATGGTATCCCTGTTCTTAATTGGCCAGCAAACTCTCCTGACCTTAACCCCATAGAAAATCTATGGGGTATTGTGAAGAAGAAGATGCAATACACCAGACCCAACAATTCAGAAGAGCTAAAAGCCACTATTAGAGCAACCTGGGCTATCATAACACCTGAGCAGTGCCACAGACTGATCGACTCCATGCCACGCCGCATTGCTGCAGTAATACAGGCCAAAGGAGGCCCAACTAAATACTGAGTGCTGTACATGCTCATACTTTTCATGTTCATACTTTTCAGTTGGCCAACATTTCTATAAATCCTTTGTTTTTATTGGTCTTCAGTAATATTCTAATTTTCTGATATGATGAATTTGAGATTTTCATTTGTTGTCATTTGTAATCATCAAAATTAAACAAAATAAACATCTGAAATATATGAGTTTGTATGTAATGTATGAATATAATATACAAGTTTCACTTTTTAAATGGAATTACTGAAATCAATCTACTTTTTCATGATATTCTAATTTTATGACCAGCACCTGTACATAAACACACATACATATGCATCTATTACATTTTATAGATATTATATATACAGTATGATTTGCAGAAAAGGAAACAAACACGCTGACTCATCTAACACTTGGTTTGACCTATTTTCTAGCAGTTCTTGTTTTCCTAAACTCCTTCTAATAAGGCATGTGATGATATGAACTTCTGAGTTTTATGTCAACAAAACCATATCTAGGTGTGAGAAGGGTCAAAGAGCAGCTAAAGGAGCTAGCCATGCTACTGAATTAGTCTTAAGCATTAAGGAAAAGGGGGTGCAATGTTGACTAAGACAAACTAGTATAAGTCAGGTTGGAAAAAAAAACGGATGATGAGTAAGAAAGAATACTTGATGTTGTTTTCATGCAGGGCAAAACCAGCTGAGCTGGCACCGTGTTTCTAATCAGCTGACTCCAGACTCACAGGGTGGATATATGTGCACACAAACATGCACACACCCAAACAAAACACACACCCGCAAACAGGAGCAGATCATCAAGCAAATGTAGAGATATTCAGACAATGGGTAAACACAAGAGAAGGGTGGAATCTTGAACTGCAAACTAACCTACATGCAGTTGACAAATGCATAAATGAATTCTGTCACGTACAAAGCCTCCATGTAAAAGGGAACAAGGTGACACCTTATGCAAACTCCCTCCAAACCACTTTGACACATCTTACAGGATTCGCAGTCCAATGAGCACAAAATGTTTCTGTACTGATTACTGAGAAAATTCATAATCTTATTGTACACAAGAATAAAACATCTTAAAAGGAATACCAAAATGCCTCTTAAAAAGGGAGCCAGCTTTTTATTAACAGTCTACGATGAAATAAACCTAAAAGGTGGGCAGGATGCATCATCTATTTGCCATGTAATTCTAGTATATTTCGAGGTAAGGTCAGTAAAATCTTGCAACTTTGCTCTCATATCTGCAATTTACTGATTATTTTCAAACAAAAGAAGATTTTGTATTTAAAGTCAATAAGGCAGTTTTGATGAGAGAAGGTATAACAGGAGGATACAGGGATCATCCTTTCATCTCTTATGGAGGAAGAATTTAACAGTTTGAAAGAGGTTTGACATAAAAGTGTTCATCCCTCATATAGTTTCAATCCTCTTTTGGAACTAAATTACTAACCCCATTCGTTGATGTTCAGATTTGATTTGCTTTTGTTTTTTTTATTATTATTCCTCATGGGACAAACTTAAACTTCCAAAACAAGTCTAATATATGTTTACCTCTAATAGTCAGTCTGATAAAATAACTGGAGACTAAGCTCCGAGCTACATTAAAACCATCTTAGGTAACAAACCTTGATTTCTACCATCAGTTACATTTTAGGCTCAGTAACTAATTTCAGGCTTGTGCACAGCCTCAAGCCTAGGGCTTATATGCACGCTCACCTGCCGTAGGCAAATCGCCTGTCTTTGTGATGATCTCCAAATGTGTCCCAAAGCCTCAGGGACACACTGACCTCATCCACCACATCCCGAGATCTCTCCAGTACCTATATGTGGAGAAATATCAGAAAAAAATAGGAGAAGTTTTTTTTTCATTTATTTGCAAGATTTGAATTTTAGTGGGATTAAAGGAATACGATTTAAAAAGAAACAAGGTACAGAATAGATGATGTACAGAGGCTTTTTATATGAAATATTTTAACTGACAGAATAACAGAATTAGTCATAGGAAGGTTTTGTCTATCTAAGACTTCTTTTCCTTCCTTCCTGTCTGCCTGCGTGTTTTCCTGTTTCCGGCCTGATTGAGAACCATTTTTTCTTATGTTATCAGCAGAGGCAGGTCACGTTGTTGTAAAGCGAGGACATTTTCCTGGTCAAACTATAATTAGTGAATCAAATAGTGTTCTGAGCTAGGGTGGGGTATAAACTGGTGCTGGTTAGGCTTAGGGTTACTGTCAGCATTCGGGTTAAGAAAGGGTTGAAAATGACTAAAAGTCAATGGAAGTTGACACATGGTCCTTACTACATACAGCAAAAATAAGTCTTTACTTGGGTGTGTGTTTACTTTAACTCACTGCAAAGTGAGGAGATTTTTGGCTCATTTTACTTGTAAAATGAGGACATTTATGCCATGACATTTTACTGGTCCTCACTTTGATAGCTTAGATTTAGGGGTAAGGTGTGATTTAGGTTTAGGTCAAGGTTAGGCTGAGGTATGTATCAGTAATGGTTAGGTTTTGGGTAAGTGTCATGGTTAGGCTGTAGAAAGGGTAGAAAATGAACAGAAGTCAATGGAAATGTATACAAGGTGTGCATGTGTGAGGGTGTGTGTGTGTGTGCCCACCTCCTGGCATACTCGATACTGGTCGATAGCCCAAACGGTTGGCACGTGGGTGGCAAGCAGCTGATACTGTGTGAGCGTGGCATTGCAGGCCCGGGCACAGATTAGCCTGGTTTTACCTACTGCATTGTCCCCCACCACCACACACTTAATGGTTTCCACATTGGGCCGCTCATAGTCTGTGTCAATATCCATGGAGAGGGCCCTGGAGAACATGAGACACAAGAGCAAAATAAAAAAGAAGAGAACAGGTTAATCCAATATTAATAAAAATGGAAAGTTTTAGAAATCCCTACAGCTGGAATGACAAATCATTTTCTTATTTGACAGCCAGGAGCACCGGGAGCAGTAATTCTCATCAAAGTCCCAACCAATAGAAAGCATTGGATCAAAGCACCCAATGCTGCATTGTCCAGAGCACAGAGACCTCTGTCAAACGCCACAACAGAACACATGGTTCCCAGTCACAGGGTGAGCAATAGAGACTGCAGAGCTATTTCTGTATCAGCACAAAGGGAGAAAGAGAAGGATGAACAAAGAGAGACTTCCCTGGAGGTCACTATCCTCAGCTTCCCTTGTGCCATCTTTACCCAGTCTGCCACCCTTTTAATACACCCATGAGCATTTTCACATTAGTCTAAGCAAAATGTAAAAAAAAAAAAAAAGAAACCATCTAACTACCTCACAAACTATAGGTTGTGTCCATCAGTTGTGACGGGGAATAGCTTTGTTAGCTTTGGTTTTGTTTTCCATCTAAAGTTTTTTTACAGCTTTGAAAATTTATTTAAAGTTATATAGTTTAAACAATATGTTTACTTTGGTTATGATTAGGATGTATGAGGATCATCTAGTTCAGCTCGCACCTGAGGTTGTTTATGATGGCTGAAAGGAGAGGGGACAGCTGGCCACCTTACTATAAAACAGGTGACATAACAGTAGTTTTAACAGTTGTTCATTAGTTTTAGCTACATATAATACAGTTCACCAGGTAGGAACAGATAGGAAGTTTATGAGAGTGTGAGGAAACAGTGAATAGTCCAACTACATAAAAATACTTGAGTAGAAATTTTAATTATGCAGTTATATTGTTAGATCCAATATAGTTATCAAATATATATGCAGAAACTTCATATATATTTGATATATATGCATTTATATCTTATGCATATATATATGCACAAATTTTACAAAGTAAAAGTTTTTTTTTTCTATTCCTCCCACATCATTGAAAGTCTACTGTATTTAGATCAATGTGAATCTCTAGCATCTGCATAATAGGGCTGAAGAACTCATTAAATATATTTTCTATCTTATCGAAGCTACTAAGTACTTTATATAATATAATAACCTTTTTTATGATTTAGACTATTAAAATTTAGAAGTACATTTATCTTTTCAAAATGCAGTTTGTCTAATCCTACAATGTGAAATGCAAAAATTGTTCTAATATGGCTTTAAAATTAATAGTTTTTTGGATTTTCTTTCTCCCTAGAATTTCATAATAGCAGATGACAAATGAAAGATGTTATTTTTAAAAACTAATTTACATATCAACATCTCTTTCGGGCGTTTACCTAAATTTAAAGGACAACGAAATTCCATCTGTAAAACATCCCTTTAAGAAGATCATGTTTTACACCAATCAATGAAAATAAAGCATACCAGCAGCTACTAGTTTTATACAGTGAGCTAGTTTGGCAGTAATGAGAAGACAGAAGAATGGATATCACTGAGCTGTTGAAAAAAAAATAATAAAGATTTTACAAAAACTAAAAAAAATGTGATAAATCCATAAAATAAATTTATGCACACCTTAAAGTTATGTTTGTCGTTTTCCTTTACACTTTCCAAAACTTTGTTGCGTCCGGGTATTCGTCTTCTCAAGGGTTAAAGGAAAACTTATATAATGAATGCATGATTGAGCACCTTGTAGCTTAACCTCAGTCCAAGGTGGAAGAAGCACAGCCTAACCGACTTCCTCTTTTAAACTGCACAAACGCTGTAAAAAGCTTATCAAAATCCACTTATCATTAAACAGCTTACAAACATTTCTGACATGTGCAAATACTCTCTAATGCTGCCCATTTGAAGATTTCCTGACAATAAAAAAGGCTGCACAAGAAAAAAAAAAAAAAAAATCACCCCAGACGTGTTCAAAGTCTGCAATCATCTAGTCAGCCCATCCGTCGTTCCAAACTCGCTCCAAGAGCCACAGCGGGACCCCATAAATAGAGCAACTAAAACATTCATAAAGGACTTCACTAGTTATTCCATTGACGTGGAACGCCAGCACAAAGCCTGAACCCGGTCCAGGAGTGACAGACACTAGTAGCTAAAAATGAGCATTATTCATCGGATATGTAAACCATGCATCCTGTTATCCAGTCATAACCTAGTTTTTTTTTTTTGTATGTTTAGAACCTCCATTCAATCTGCAAAACACAGTGTTTCATTCTACTGAAACACCTTTTTCATCAAAAGTTGAGACATATTTGTGTTTATAGATTTCCCTCTAAAGCAAGTCAAATAACCTAACCCTGGATGTTAAGATACACTATATTGCCAAAAGTATTTGCTCACCTGCCTTGACTCACATATGAGCTTAAGTGACATCCCGTTCCTAATCCATAGGGTTCAATATGACGTCGGTCCACCCTTTGCAGCTAGAACAGCTTCAACTCTTCTGGGAAGGCTGTCCACAAGGTTTAGGAGTGTGTTTATGGGAATTTTTGACCATTCTTCCAGAAGCGCATTTGTGAGGTTGCACACTGATGTTGGACGAGAAGGCCTGGCTCTCAGTCTCCGCTCTAATTCATCCCAAAGGTGTTCTATCGGGTTGAGGTCAGGACTCTGTGCAGGCCAGTCAAGTTCATCCACACCAGACTCTGTCATCCATGTCTTTATGGACCTTGCTTTGTGCACTGGTGCACAGTCATGTTGGAAGAGGAAGGGGCCAGCTCCAAACTGTTCCCACAAAGTTGGGAGCATGGAATTGTCCAAAATGTCTTGGGATGCTGAAGCATTCAGAGTTCCTTTCACTGGAACTAAGGGGCCAAGCCCAGCTCCTGAAAAACAACCCCACACCATAATCCCCCCTCCAACAAACTTTACACTTGGCACAATGCAGTCAGACAAGTACCGTTCTCCTGGCAACCGCCAAACCCAGACCCGTCCATCAGATTGCCAGATGGAGAAGCGCGATTCGTCACTCCAGAGAACGCGTCTCCACTGCTCTAGAGTCCAGTGGCGGCGTGCTTTACACCACCGCATCCGACGCTTTGCATTGCACTTGGTGATGTATGGCTTGGATGCAGCTGCTCGACCATGGAAACCCATTCCATGAAGCTCTCTGCGCACTGTTCTTGAGCTAATCTGAAGGCCACATGAAGTTTGGAGGTCTGTAGTGATTGACTCTGCAGAAAGTTGGCGACCTCTTCGCACTATGCGCGTCAGCATCCGCTGACCCCGCTCCGTCAGTTTACGTGGCCTACCACTTCGTGGCTGAGTTGCTGTCGTTCCCAAACACTTCCATTTTCTTATAATACAGCTGACAGTTGACTGTGGAATATTTAGGAGCGAGGAAATTTCACGACTGGATTTGTTGCACAGGTGGCATCCTATCACAGTTCCACGCTGGAATTCACTGAGCTCCTGAGAGCGACCCATTCTTTCACAAATGTTTGTAAAAACAGTCTGCATGCCTAGGTGCTTGAATTTATACACCTGTGGCCATGGAAGTGATTGGAACACCTGATTCCAATAATTTGGATGGGTGAGCAAATACTTTTGGCAATATAGTGTATGATACCTATCTATCTGGTAAAGAAGAGAAAGAGTTAACAAAAGGTGCTTTTTTTTTCCCAGCACGTTGCCCGACTATGACTTTGGGAGTTATAAATATCCCTTTCCCTTTGCCACCTGTGTGGCTGTGACACATTTAGAGGCACGTACTACTGGGAGACAGGAGATGCAATAAAAGTAGCGCAGCCTTGCAGTTATCGAACAGCAGTAAGACAAATGTTGAAGGCAGGTGCCAATGCAGCACTCATCTTTGTGTTATGAGAAAATATGACAAGAACTACAAGTTATGAAAGCAACAGTTGTTCAAATGATGCTCTGTGTTATTCACCTGTTTGAAAGGACACATCATAGTGGTGAGAAAATGATACCAGCGCTGAAAGACCCCAGGCAAGAGAATGTTTACTTTGCTTAAATCCCAGTTCTTCCTGTTTGACAATAGATATAATTAAGTCATGCCAAAGGGGATCAAAAGCGCAGGACTGGCAATAACCAAGGCAGCACAAGGGAACAAATCCCAGCTTTTCAATCTAATGTGTCTCTTCCATGAAAGTTTTAATTCCCTCATGTAGAGAAATAAATGGAGAAAAGTAGAGAAGTCAAATAAAGAGTGCAGTCTATAATCCTTTGTCACCCATTTTGAGTCTGGAAGTCAACACTAACATACAAGAGATGCATGTGCTCAAGTGTGGTAATGAGCCTAGGGTTATCAGTGCAGTGATGTTACCAGAAGGTGGCAGCGCTGGCAGTGTGGGGATGTCACAGCTAAGCATCAGTTACCACATAAAAGTAAAAGCTCATAGTTCAGGCCCAATGGGCTATATGCCCAACTCCAGTAGTCCTCGAACTTCAGCCAGCTCCTTGGTTTCCTAGGCATATATCCCATCCATCCATCCATCCATCCATCCATCCATCCATCCATCCATCCATCCATCCATCCATCCATCCATCTTCTGTCACGCTAGGTCTAAGTTGGGGTCACAAGTGGTGCTGGTGCCTATGGGTGAGAGGCGGGGTAAACCCTAGACAGGTCACCAGTCCATTGCAGGGCACTTTAAACTATTTAAGGATTTGCAATTGGGTAATTGTATGATAATTATTCACAAAACGCGGCAGGAGATTTTGTGAAAAATCTTTTTTTTTTTAACTAATATTTTAACTGGGATTTTATAAAGATGTTACTTTACACCAACGATAAGTATGTAGAAATTTCTCTTCCGAATTTTATTGTTTTCATGACCTTGAAAATATGCTTTTGTCCATCGTCCAAGGACTTTACTGCCACTGTTGTGTTGAAAAGTTTGCAAGCATTAATCTTTGTGTGAACTGCAACTCTTTCTACCCTTCTTTGGGGCAGAAAACCAGCTTTAAAGCTACAGTGTGTAATTTTCAGCGACATCTAACGTCCAGACTGCAGACCGCAGCAACATGAACATCCCCCCCCCCACTGCTTCTCCCCCATACAGTACGGCGAGCGTTACGGGACAAAATGTCTTCCACGACGTCCGCATCACCTACCTTCTCAAGTGATGAGGTTTGTTTTCATAGATAATTTTACAGATAGTATTTCATTAGTCTGTGTAGGGTATAGATTTCAGTTCATCTCTCTCAACTTGCCGTAGTTACTTTCGAGCGTAATGGGCGATCTCGCAATCGCTAGTTTGTTGGCTCTGCACTGCCATAGCGCAAAGATGTCTGCCTCCATGGCTGCGAGACCCGCTCCTATGTAATTATAAATAACGAATTCTAAGGCAACGCAAATATTAAGGTTAAGAGGCTGAGCTCGTAGATGATGATAAATAACATAGTTATGTATAATATATTACATTTCTGACTGTATATCCCTGTAATTATTACACACTGTAGCTTTAAGTGTTTTAACACCACCTACAGGACTGGAGTGAGAAAGTCTGTGTGTTACTTCGGTTAAATGTAATATGACCAAAACTGAGTTCCTCTGTGATATGAAAATTGTGTTTTGTTAAATCGCAATTGCAATTAATTACCCAGCCTTGGACGTATTACCTAAATTAAATCCAGTGAAACCAATTGCCTTCAGAACTCACCAAAAGTCTAAATAAAACTGTTTGGTTTTAATGCAAATTTGGTATGTGGCAGAAAGCTAACCATGCATATCACCAACCCCAGCAAGATATTCTTAACATGGTAACACATGGCGGTGGAAGCATCATGCTGCGAGGATGCTTTTCTTCAGCAGATACAAGAGAACTGGTCAGATTTGATTGGAAGATGGAAGGAGTTCAAATAACGGTAATAATTATAGAAAACTTGTTAGAAGTTGCAAAACACGCAAGTTAATAGCTGGATGTTCCTGTTCTACTGAGATCCTGACCCTAATCATACAATAGAATGATTTAGATAGAATGCTGATTAGTTGGCAGCCAATTCAAAGCACAGGCCAAAACAAATTGAGAATTTATGTAATATAATTGATATTTAGAGAGACTATACATCTAGTCTGGTTCATCTTGAGTTATTCTACAGAGAAGAATAGTTAAGAAAGTGAGTTCTAGATGTTTATACATATAAAGTCAATCTTTTTAGGGTTCAATTTTGTAAAAGAAATAGAAAATCATGCATCATTTTCCTTGATCATCAAAATTATGTACGTTTTTGCATTAGTGTACGATATAAAATACCAATAATATACATCAAAACTGTTGGTTGTGATGAACCATTGATAAGTTATGGGTTATGAATGCTTTTGCAAGACAATGCAGATTTGCACAATAGTTCTTCACTCATTTAATTCTCATGCCTGCTCATACTTTACTTTTTTTTATGCATGAGCGGTACATGAGCAGAGACCAAAAGGCAATGTTAAGGGAGCAGTGCAGCAGAAAGAGAAGCTGGACAGATCAGGTTTCATTTTCAGTTAACAAGCCTTTCACAGGCGTCTAGACTTTATCTGTTGGCTCGCTCTAACTAAGACAGTAAAACGAGGCGTCAAGGACAAAGAGGTGTAACAGTAAAATGTTTGAAAATGACAATAGAGGGACATGATTGTATAACACAAACAAAGGCATTGCGTTTACTCTGTCATCTCATAGATTTCACTCTTCTCTTACAGATTTTCTTGCAAACTCAGAGGGAAAGCAGCAAAGAAATCCAATGTGCCCAAAGTGTGTCTCATTGCAAATTTATTTCAAGGCCAGATAGGAATTGTCAGATGGTTAAAAGTCTTTCATAATCCCAACCTCTGGTTTCAGTTTTTGCACAGTTAATTCTTAGTTGTTGACACCTTCCCAGCTGAAGCTACTTAACCGTAATTCCACATAAGGCTCCAGCTCATTTCTTTACATCACTCCAGTGTATTAATCTTTTCCTCCAATATTTGTTTTTTGGGTTCAACCTTTGCATCCCATTGCCTATTTGTGAGCTCAGACTTTTTTTCAATTGTACCCAAGAAGCGACATGTAGCAAAAAAAAAAAAAACTCCCACGCCGTCCCAACCTACCCTTCCTCTGTCTCTCTGTTATGTAACAACTTCAGTGATCTACTGTCAGCGGCCACTCATCCTAAACCTTGCATGCCTCCCTTTCGCAGCTTTTCTGTCTACTTTCTTGGCGCTAAAGATCGCACCAGTCTTTTTCCCTGTCACCCAAACATCAAACACTCTTTTGATGCATGGACCACTTTGCAGTACTGGCTTGACTACAGAATCAAAGGTGAAGTAAACTAAAGGCGGAAACAATGTGTTATGGTGCAATACTATTTTTTTTTTTTAACAAATATACATTCCATAATTAAAGTTCTTATCTTTCCCCGCAAACCTTTGCTCAAACAGTTAGGTGTGACAGTGTGTGTGTGGATGTTTGAGATCCTGACTGCCACAGGCACAGCTGGCACAGACTGGTTACATAACCTGGTTTGTAGCTTCATAGCTGCAGCATCCCTCCCTGGATGGCTGACAGTAGACCTCAGACTCACACAGACATGTACACAAATGCCTGCATGTACTTGTCTGACCCACTATACAGATGGTATCGGTAATAATGACCAGCCAGAGGCAGACAGTGTTATCTGCACATCTAGATGATTTTGAATAATTTTTTTTTTCTTATTTAGAAGAGTTGGATATTAGTTTGATCTAGAGAAAAAAAAGAATGTTATTTGCTTTGTAAACACAGGCAGACTCCTCTTGGTGCTCTCATTTTCTTCCTCCTCCTTCTGCTCATCCTCCCCTTTCCTTGTCCATTTTTTCCACCTACTCTTTCCTCTCATTTATCGTGCTATATCTGTTTACAACCCTTCTGTTCCACACTTGAATGTCCAAGAGTTTTTTTTTTTCTGTAGACATCTCTTATTTTTGCACCCAGTTTTTGCAAACCATAAAATAATTAATGTTGGAGGTGTCCAACTGAGTTGTTTTTAAAGAAAAATCTCTTTTTTTAACATTAGGAATATATATATATATATATATATATATATATATATATATATATATATATATATATATATATATATATATATACCACATGCAGTATTTAGCACTTTATGGATTGGGGTGTCCCGCCTTTTCTTTAGGTATATAAAAGCCAAAGGGGTTGATTACCAGTGCACACCGCTTATTTCAGATTTTCATTTATAAAAGTGGAAGAAAAGTAACATGCATACCTTTTAATACACTTGATAATATGGCACTAATTGTGTTGGTCTACAACATGAAACAAATGGATAAGATCTGTACTTACAATGTGACAAAACATGAAAAAGTAAAACTGAGAACCTGGTGGAAACTGTGAATCTGCAAGAATATAGTGTCAGCAGTAACACATAAAAAGCAAAGAGGACCCTGATCATTAACTTTTTGTTTTCAAAGCAGGAAAAGATAGACATATAAAAGCATGTGCACTATTTGAAGCTCTATTACCCCCGTGTGTCTGCCACGGCAGCTTGATTCAAGGGTCACAACATTCAAGCCAGCCATGTAATGCAGGCTCACTCTTCCATGTGGGCTTGTGAGTGGAGCACATTGTTACCTTAAAACTGTTGACACAGTCAAAGCTTAATGCCTAATCAGAACAATAGGTAGCTCTGTTACAACACTACCAGGCAGTTCATTTAATCATGGATACGATCTTTTAAATAATTACGTGGAGTTCTGATATAACGGCCAAGAATTGCACCATTTTCCCAAATATGTGCGTGCACACACAATTAGGATGCTGGGTTGACCAGAATTGCAGTTGCATGAAGAAAAAACAAAAGAATAGAAACTGACTGTTGCACAAAATTAGATGATCCAATGATAACACTGAGTCCCACCAGTTTTCAAAGGGAAAAGATTGGTCCCAATTGGCTAAACGACGAGCATTGTGCAATAATCCGTTTCTGCCAAATCTTTATGCAACTTCAGAACTCAAAATATGATTCATGCGCTTCTGAATGGAGATTAATAAAAAGGCCATAGAAGCACGCCTCACCGAGAACATTATTAATTTATGTCCAGGTGGAAGTGAGAGGCTTCTTCAGCAGCCACACCGCTACCTGCGTAACATAATATCACTGATGGCGTCATAGCCCAAGGATCATCATTACAGCATGCAAATGTGAGTGCATTCTGCAAATAATGGGTGCATCTTGCAGGATTTTAGCCCTTTTATCTATTGTGCTAATTGTGATCTGCATGGTTTCAGTAAATAGTCTGCTGTTGGATGATTACAGTTATCAATGAAAAAGATGTGCTGCCCATTCATAACCACCTGGCCCATTCATTTCTTTAAGTGACTCGATAAAACAGGCAACCTATTGTTATCCTTCCACATGCTGAATCACCCAGCCTTCAGATGCAGCACGAAGCAGGTGCAGCAGCCTCTCCATCCCAAGTGATGCGGTGAGGAGTCTTGCGTAATGAGCCAAGCCCATCCGCTTCTCAATGACACTGGATGAGAATCTAAGGGTCGCTGTGGCATCCAAGAAATAACAATATTTCCTCAACATATAATTACATTAGGGAAACCACCTGCAGTTCAATTGCAAACGGATTTTTTTGCGACTATATGCATTTAAATACCATGAAAATGGCAAAAAGGAAAACGCTATTTAACACATTTAGGGTGGAAACCTTGTTAGGGGGCTGCTTTGTGCACAAAGAGGGTGGAAAGAGGGGCATGTGACTCGGTTTGGCTGCAGGAGGTGTGGTCCCTACCTTCCGACGGTTCCGGAGTTGACCCACATGCCAGTCTGCTGGGGGTTCAGCCGGTCAGAAAACCGGACAGAAACGCGCTGAGAACTAACAGACAACCGCGTTGATTCCGTTCTTCGACAAGGAGCACAGAAAGCTGCGGATAGGACCTCTGCCCTGAAACATCCTCCCTCTCCTCCTCTTCTTCCGTTCTGCTACCTTCTTTTTTCTTTCTTTTAGTGTCTCCCTGAGCTCAGCAAGTACCGAAAGTCTGCCGTAAATCTGATCTGCTGATTTGTTTCTTTCTGAGAGACATATGGGCGCAACTTGTCGACTGATTTCTATCGTCTGAGCCCCGCTGCCCTCCCCCTTTTGTGTTGTTGTTGCCCCAGCTGATTTCACAAGAGACACGCCTCCACGGCGCTACGTCACCGCCCAGACACCAAACTCATCCCGTGAGGCGTTCACGTTCGGTAGGAAACGAAGCATCAATCTTAAACACAATCCAAAAGTAAGCCATTTAAAAGCAACTCAGGCGTATAAAGATTAAATAAGCCAAACTTCATTCTAGTTGACTCAAAAAACATTGTTTACAGCTGTACTGAAACATAATTAGATCAACTTTTTTATTTTCTTTAGTCCAACTGTTTTTAATATTCTTTTTGTTTCTGCATTTTTTATTTTATTTTTGTCCTACTTGCATTCTGTTTCATTTTCCTATATTTTAATCATGTAAAGCACTTTGCATTGTCTTTGTACTGAATTGTGCTATACAAATAAATTTGCCCGCCTTGCCTTGCATCTTATATAAAAATGAATTTGTACTTTAATTTTATTGTGATTTAAAAAGACCTTTGTAGACTCCTGATGCTTCAGTTTATCCGATTTAATTCAGTTAATTTATGCAGATTAGTGCACTAGAAAGATCTTCTCAGGCACTAAAATGACAAAATTAATCAAAATAAGGGAGAGATTCAAAATATTCTTCATACATTCTGATTTAATCCCAAGTATATGCTGATAAATCCAATTACAAATGACAATTCACAAAAAAACATATTGACAGAAGTGACACATCTTCCCAAACAAATGCTTGTAATCTTGTTTGCTAAGAATCAGCTTTGTTAACCAGGTTTGTAAAGCAAATTGACCTGTGATGACACTTTGCACTGAGTGACAACATTCATTTATAAACATGTGAGAAGGGACATGAAAATTAATGTTTTAATTTTCAATAAGGATATATACTGTACAGAGTTTTTAGAAAACAGGAAGAGGAGCTTCATTTAATGGAAAACTGTATTCATCTGTACACTCTGGCGACACTGTTTACTAAAGAGCCTGGGAAAGACACCCTCTCTCCTCAGTTGCAGGTGTTTTTTTTGCAAATACTGGTCTGTAACATCAACCTTAATATAAACATGTAAAGAGTTAATGTGGAGGAAGTGTGTTTTCTGCAGAGATGATAGAGGTGTCCCTGTTTTTAGAGCAGTACAAGTTCTGGATGGAGTAAACATCGCTGCTGAACTAATTCTTCATTGCAATCTCACAGACTGACTGATGGCAGTGTTGAAGTTGAACAGCAGCTACTGGAAGGGTTTATTTCTTGAGAAATACAGGAAGTACAGTTTTTGCTAGGTCATGTCATGTGAAAGGTTGTTTCGATAAACTAGAGGTGAATTTAAGCAGAGTTGCGGAGGATGAGGGGAGGAAGAGGGGGGGGTATTCTACAATAGTCTACCACTATCTCCACTGTCATTCATCATTTAAGCTCACCTCTTGTCTGTACGTAGACTTGTCATTGTTCTGGATTGGACCAAACTACAATATTCTAAATTGCAGGTGCAGTTCAATGACTTTCTATATGTATGTAATAGTGCTTTCATCAAAATATAATTTAAAGTTTGTGTGCCAGTAATTCCATAAAAAATGTGCAACATATATTTTATATAGATTCACCACACAGTGGTAAAATTCCAGCATTTATTTCCAATCATACTAAATGCCTTTCAGCTAAAAAAAATCATGCAACTCAGTTTCTCCAAAAAAAAAAAAAAAAAATCATAAAGACAAAAAAAAAGTTCTAATACAGCAGTACCTTCCAGATGCTAATCTTAACATTGTAATTCATAGTGTACAGGGGCTCAGTACCAGATCCTTCTGTATGAATTACATTACAGCTTGTAGGTGATCAGCCTCTGGCTATACTGAGCTGTTAGGGAACCACACCTTGCTTTAATGTTGCCATTCAGCACCGTTAAGTCTGGTTTCCCCCACTTTTCTTTTGACAATACTCCCCAGTTTTTGTTTTTTACATGCTGTGGGTTGGATAACTTTACTGGCTAATCCAACTATTGATTTTCAGTTCTGTCCAGGTGCTCTGCCCTGCTAGAAAATATAACTAGAATCTTAATAAATCCATATAGCAAATGGAAGCATTATATGATCCAAAAGTTCCAGTTGGATTGTTACTCTGACTATGCAGTTTATAAAGCTCTGTGAACCAACACCAGCAGATGACACGGCGCCACAAAACCTCACTGATTGCGGGGACATCACACCGAACTGGAAATTAGCTAGGTTTCTATGCTGCTCCACTTTTCAACCACAATCTGAGACCTTGAATTAAAAAAAAAAAGTCAAATTCCTTTGTCTTAATATAAAGAAATGCCTCAATTGTAGCCCTTGTCCTAGATACATCATTGTGTGATGACTCTGAAAGCCATTTCAAGGTTTTCCATGAAAACAGGATGCAGCAGCCAATCACATTGCAAAGAGCAGATAGCATTTTATCCACAAAACTTTCCTTTGTCTGTCCCGTTTTCTCTGAATACCATTAAACAGACTGTTTGTAATTAGCAGAACACTCACGTCCTCCCTTGCACAGGCCGTGGACGCTCTAACTGACCCAGTTTAAGCCTAAAAAGGGAGTAGGACAATCATCAAAATGAAATTTGGCTGAACTATTTTCTCGTTTCTACTTATACAACTGAGCTACATTACATTTAGAATAGACCAAATAGATGTGTAGTTTTATTGTATTGTAATAATTAGTGGTTGCATCTGTATAGTGTTCTCTTAACCCTATTCAAATATCTGAGCAAAACTGAAGACAGCCATCTACTGGCAGAAACCGGTATATCCTAGAGTAGATTAGATGTGCTTATAGCACAACAAAAACGTATCTATTTATTTACATGACCTCTTTGTTTAATTTACAGCATCCCTGCTGCGTCAAATGTCGCTGTACAACACACAATTTGTACAATTGGAGGTGAGCCTAAATCTGCTGCCAGGCATTTTTATTTTCTAATCTTCTTGTCCAGTTCTGTCTTGTGGCCCTGAGAAAATACTGCCCCCTGACCTAGCTGGCATGGTCAGAAAAGAACAGCGTGAAAGATGGGCAGGAATGCTGGTAGAAAGCAGGGGTTCAGCACCACTGGCACTGAGAGGGCTTAAAGCCGTGGAGAGGGAGCCCCTTTGTTGGAAAGCAGAACTTCTGTGAGAACCTTCGAGCCGCGCAGTCTGAGGTGATGTCTGGCCTTTTCAGCTACAGTAGAACAAAAAGGGCTGCTTCTTTTTCCCACTGGTTTTATCGCTCTTTTATGGACTTAGTGGGACATGTGCTCCCATAGATCCTACACTGGGATGAGACTGAAGTTAGGTGAATAAGCTGTGGTCTCTTTTTGGCAGAACTACTTCAACAACAAACAAGAGTGTGTTGATGTTGGGAGAGGAAGCAGTACTGCTACGAAAACTGCCCTTTAACTGAAAGAATCCAAACTTTATTTTGTTTATTCAAAGAAAATACAGAATTAAATACAGATCACTAATGTTTGAGTGAATTTTTGCTACGTTCAGATGCTGGTGAAATAAGATGTTTCAAACGTCGGGCATAAGACCTAATTAAGGTTTTCTGTGAAAACGACATAAATCTTAGAGGTTATAAGGCTTTTTTTTCTAATGAAAAAGAAAAGATTAATTTAAGGTTTGCAAAAGCAGATTCTGCAGACAGATTAGACCATTATAGCCTGAAATAGCTGAATAACAGTAAAAGATGGCTTGTTTGATGAAGGAATATAAAATAGTCATCTCTGACTTTGAAGACTGTGGGGCTTTTAAAAAAAATAAAAAAAAAAATAGTTCAGAAAATGGTGGCTGGAAGACAAAAATGAACAAAAACAAAAAAATTATATATATATATATATATATATATATATATATATATATATATATATATATATATATATATATATATATATATATATATATATATATATATATATATATATATATATATATATATTCATTCCTTTGCAGGAAATGTTCAGTTAGACTTCTGCACCTGTTGACCGATATTTTGGTTCACTGTTTATGAGCAAGTCTATGTATTGGTCTGGGACAGTTGGTTTTTTTTTGTCATTTCAACTAAAATTCAATATCAATATTTAATTTTACAAACTTTTCTTCAGTCACTTCATCTCCTTAAATGGGAGGGTATGTAAACTTTCATATATCATTGGCTTGCTCCGATTGACTGGCGACCTGACCAGGGCACCCCCTGCCTTTTGCTCATAGACTGCTGGAGGCACCACCCCCATCACCACCCTGATACATAAAGCTGTAGAAGATGGATGGATGGATGGATGGATGGATGGATGGATGGATGGATGGATGGATGGACAGAACAGCTTGCAAATATTCCTGCTTGAAATTTTTAACATGTCTCAAACAACACAATCCCAATAAGGAATATTTGACTGGGATTTTGAAAGTAGTAAAATAAACAAACTAAATGTTTAAAAAAACTATCTGAAAAAAAATTGGCATCTATTTCGATTTACCGGTCCCGAAAAATTATTTACTTAGAATGGCCTTTTGCTGTAAAATAGTTAATAATTACTCTTCATTTGTAACAAAATCTTTCTCACCGGACTTTAAAAACTTAAAACTTGTTGTCCTTCTTCTTTGAAGAATGGCCCATGTCATAATGAATTGGGAACATCTGTGAGCAGCAATTTTGCAGGTATGCAAAAGATTTTCAAGTGGCTTT